TCTCAAAGAGTTGCCACCTCAAAAAACATATTTAACACATGGTCATTCATGCCGGCTCATATCCTTTTATACTTTCTGTTATTTATTTGTGTCTTATGCACTTCACTGCTGCGGAGCGCATCCCTTGTTTTGGCCCCTGGTGACTTCACCTCACTGGTGCAGCCAGCACGCCGCGCACACTCCGCTAATTTTGCGGTCGGTAGATCTTTTTGAACTGCAGTTCAAAGGTAACCCATGAGGTGAAAATATATGAAGCCAGGTAGCAGTTTTTCTTTAGGATTGAGAGAAGAAGAAGAAGAAAGTATCATTTCTATAGCGCCTCTCAAGATAAAAATCACAAGGCGCTTCACAAAAACAAAAAAATGTAAAAATATAAAAAAGCATTTAGAAAATGTTTTAAAATATATTTAAAATAAGCAAAAATAGACAATTGTGATTAAAAAATGTTAAGAAAGAGAGAGAGTGAATAGGAAAGAGGGACATCAGTGGATCCTGAGGAAGATGGAATAGGTGGGGAGAGCAGAATAAAGAGAGAGTGGTGAAGAAGGTCATACAACAGTCAGCTTGAACAAGTGAGTCTTCAGCTGCTTTTTGAAGGAGTCCACTGATCTCAGGCTCAGGGGGAGAGAGTTCCAGAGTCTGGGGGCCACCAACCGGAGTTGAGGTCGCAGGATCGTTGGTGCCTGTCGTGGCGGCAACCCCCAAACCCGTAGGTGGACACAAGCAGTTAGGGATATTGTCAAGCTGAAGAAAGATTCCTATCAGGTCTTTTGGCCTGTAGGACTCCAGAGGCAGCTGACGGGTACCGGCAGTCCAAGCGGAACGTAGCTCAAGTGGCCGCCAAGGTAAAAACCCGGGTATGGGAGGAGTTCAGTGAGACCATGGAGCAAGGCTTCCGTATGGCTTTGAGGAGATTCTGGTCCACCATCCGGCACCTCGGGGGGGGGGGGGGGGGGGGGGGGGGCTACCAACACTATCTATAGTGGGGACGGTGTGCTGCTGACCTCTACTCAGGACGCTGTGGATTGGTGGGCAGAATACTTCAAATACCTCCTCAATGTCACAGACACGTCTTCCAGTGAGGAAGCAGATTCTGGGCACTTTGGGTTAGCCTCTCAAATCTCTGGTGCTGAGGTCACTGAGGTGGTTAAAAAGCTTCTCTGTGGCAAGACTCCAGGGGTGGATGGGATCCGTCCGGAGTTCCTTAAGGCTCTGGATGTTGTGGGGCTGTGTTGGCTGACGCGCCACTGCAATATCGCATGGACATCGGGGGCAGTCCCACTGGACTGGCAGACTGAGCTGGTGGTCCCCTTATTTAAAAAGGGGGGCCGCAGGGTGTGTTCCAACTACAGGGGGATCACACTCCTGAGCCTTCCTGGTAAGGTCTATTAAGGTGTTCTGGAGAGGAGGTTCCGTCGGATTGTTGAACCTCAGATTCAGGAGGAGCAATGTGGTTTTCGTCCTGGCCGTGGAACAATGGACCAGCCCTATACCCTTAGGGGGATCCTGGAGGGTGCGTGGGAATTTGCCCAACCAGTCTACATGTGTTTTGTGGATTTGGAGAAGGTGTTTGACCGCATCCCTCAGGGGGGGGGGGGGGGGGGGGGGTACTCCAGGAGTATGGGGTACCAGGCCCCCTGATACGGGCTGTTAGGTCCCTGTATGACCGGTGTCAGAGCTTGGTCCGCATTGCCGGCAGTAAGTTGGGCTTGCTCCCAGTGAGAGTTGGACTCTGCCAAGGCTGCCCTTTGTCATCAATTCTGTTCATAACCTTTATGGACAGGATTTCTAGGCGCAGCCAAGGAGTGGAGGGCATCCGTTTTGGTGGTCTGAGGATCAGGTCTCTGCTTTTTGCAGATGATGTGGTCCTTTTGGCTTCATCAGAATGTGATCTTCAGCTTTTGCTGGAGCGGTTCGCAGCCGAGTGTGAAGCAGCTGGGATGAGAATCAGCTCCTCTCAATCTGAGACCATGGTCTTGATTCGGAAAAGGGTAGAATGCCTTCTCCGTGCCAGGGATGAGGTCCTGCCCCAAGTGGAGGAGTTTAAGTATCTCAGGGTCTTGTTCATGAGTGAGGAAAAACTAGTGCGTGACATCGATAGGCGGATTGGTGCTGCATCTGCAGTGATGCGGGTGTTGTACCGGTCTGTCGTGGAGAAGAGAGAGCTGAGTCAGAAGGTGAAGCTCTCGATTTACCGGTCGATCTATGTTCCTACCCTCACCTATGGTCATGAGCTTTGGGTAGTGACCGAAAGAACGAGATCGCGGATACAAGCGGCCGAAAAAAGTTTTCTCTGAAGAGTGGCTGGGCTCTCCCTTAGAGATAGGGTGAGAAGCTCGGTCATTCGGGAGGGGTTCGGAGTAGACCAGCTGCTCCTCCACATTGAGAGGAGCCAGTTGAGGTGGCGGGCATCTGTTCAGGATGCCTCCTGGACGCCTCCCTGGTGAGGTTTTCTGGGCACGTCCAACCGGGAAGAGACCTAAAGGTAGACCCAGGACACAGTGGCGGGACTATGTCTCTCACCTGGCCAGGGAACGCCTTGGGATTCCCCCAGAGGAGCTGGCCCAAGTGGCTGGGGAGAGGGAAGTCTGGGCCTCTCGCCTTAGGCTACTGCCCCGCGATCCGACTCAGGATAAGCGGATGAAAATGGATGGATGGATGGACATTTTTAGTTTTCCAAAAGAAAATAAATTACTTGCAGCATAATTTGTTTGTTTGTGACCACAGCTTGTAAGCTTGAGTGTTGACACTCTGGGTGTCTTTAGTTCTGCAGGGAGCCATGAAACTCACCCAAGTCCACCCAAAGTTTATTCTTTAAAGTCCTACTAAATCCACTGTGTTGACAATTTTTAATGAGCTCTCATTCATTTACATCACTCTCACAGATGGAGTAAGAGTTCTGCAAAAATGTTTGTTTACACTTCTGCCGGTGTGCACATGCCGAGTGTGAATGAAGGGGCTAGGGAGACGTGATGCCACACACAGGGTCTCTGCTAAACCACATGTTGCTCAGATACTGTGCTTCAAGTCAGACACAAACAAAATATCCCAAACTAAAAGACAAATACTGATTTACAACACTGTGCTTGGTGTAATTTGATTATTTAAATTCCTTTATGATGTGAAATTTATCAGTTTGTAAAGAAAATTATCCAAATTAGATTTTCCAATCGAGAATCCAGTTCTTATACATCACAAGTTCTACATCTCCCAGCCACAGGCTTAATGCTTCTCTGTGTTAATGTAGTTGAGACTGGGGGTGTCATCATTTTAACCATCGGTAACACAGCCACTGACTCGTCTCAGTAGTCTGGCCAGGGATTTTCCCCAAATTGTTGTTAATCTTGGATTTGGGAGGAATGACTTTCTCCATCTGCTTGTTTACACAGCTGTAGACACCTAACTGGGCTTTGATGCACTCTCAGATGTTTGCTGGGGTCAAACGTTCACGTAATCTGCATGATATAAAAATGGAATAGCCCATTCAAGCCTCTCAAAGTAAGCCAGTTTTTGGGCAAGTTGGCTGTAATTTGGCACTTTGACAAGTCTTTATTTTAACGTTTGACCCCTAACATATAAACGCTAGAAAAATTACACAAGCCAAAAATCTGACAATGGGAAAAAATCCCATGGTGAATGAGTAAAACACACATAGATGCAAACCCAAAGATTTACTTAAAATCCTAAAGTAACGCCTGGAATTAGACTGACTTGGAAACAACTCAAGCACCTAAGAAAAGACTTGCTAGCTGACTGTCAGATGATGCATAAACTCAGCCATCCATGTAATCACACATTATGAAACCAACAACTGGCAGCCAAAAAACTGTTTGAATTGTGCAGGTTGGGACTTGTTTGTTATATGCTAGTTTGGTACCACTTTACAATAAGGCTCCCCTTATAAATGGCTAATAAATGGTTTATAAATGTCTTATTAATCAATCTATAATGCCTTATATATGACTAATAAATATCTATTATGCATTAATTAAGGGTGGAAAAAGACACTAAACTTACTAGTTTCTTGCCAAATAGTGAACCAAATCTGTTGACTTATGTACTTTATCTAGACTTCATATATTAAACATTTCAAACTAAGAAACTACCTTTTAAGCACTATTAGCATTTGTAAACAAGGTTTTGGGCAACAAATAATGTACCTTGTAACTGCATTATAAATACTTACAATGATTAAAGGGAGGCTTATTGTAAAGTATAAAATATGTCTTTATTTATTAATAGTTAATCAACATTTATAATTACAAAAGGGAGCCTTATTGTGAAGTGTAAAACATGTCTTTATATATTAATGATTAATAAACATTTATAAATGCAAACTGGAGCCTTATTGTAAAGTGTAAAATATGTCTATTTATTAATGATTAATAACCATTTATAAATACAAACTGGAGCCTTATTGTAAAGTGTAAAATATGTCTTTATTAATAGTTAATAAACATTTATAATTACAAAAGGGAGCCTTATTGTAAAGTGTAAAACATGTCTTTATTTATTAATGATTAATAAACATTTATAAATGCAAACTGGAGCCTTATTGTAAAGTGTAAAATATGTCTTTATTTATTAATAGTTAATAAACATTTATAATTACAAAAGGGAGCCTTATTGTAAAGTATAAAACATATCAGTGTTTATTAATGACTCTTAAACATTTTTGAATGTAAAATGAAACTTTTTTAGTATGAAACTAGTTAACATTTATTTATAACCAGTAAACTTTTTGAAGACTAGGGGCCTTACTATGAAAAGTATAACAAGCTGCCTTATAACATTAGACAATACTCTCTTAACAAGTGCAGTTGTTTTGGTTACACTTAGAACACACAAAACCTTCAAAACAAAAATGACAAGAAAAATCTTTGTTGTGTGGAAACTCAACACATAACTGAACAGATCGTTAAAAAATTACCAGTTTCACACACATCTGTTCTATAGCTAAATATGCTGAAACAGAACAACTCAGATAACTGGGTAGGCTTTCAGACAGACTTGCCTCTTCGAATTGGAAGCAAAGTACCATCAGCCTTCATGCTTTCTATTTTGTTTTTCACTTCATCATTGCTTTGAATCTCTTCCTCACATCGCTTAGCAAAATGGAGTACCGTCTCTCCACTGGGCTTGTTGGAGATCAGCTCCTGGTAAACAAGAGGAGCTGCGATAGCGAGCTCAGCAACTGATGCTGTGGACACAACTGTGTTTCTGTCAATCCCATGCTTCTGAAAAGCTTTGGACAAGGTCTTCATCTTTGGAAATGTCTTGAGGGACTTGTATCTCTGCACAATCTCACTTGGTGTTCGGACTGAGAATCAAATTAAAACAAAGAAAACTGTTAGAAACAAATGCTCATGGCACACAATACAATCTGTTACTATAATTTACACACACATGCATATACGTGTGTGTGTGTGTGTATGCATCTCTAAAAATGTGCATCAGTCCAAACCTTATATTCAAGTTTGGTGTCAAATACAATGTAGTTTGAAGAAAATATTTAAATGGCAATTTTATCTCCAAAGAACATATCTTCTAGCCTGGCCTGCCAGACTAGACTTCTGCACAGAGAGTCTGGTAACTCACAGGCAGAGAGGCACATGAGGGGCGGGATTAGCCAGCTCAAAAATAACCAATCAAAAAAAAAAAAAGGTGGAAATGCCAACTGTACCATGTGACGCTGTAGTTTGTTAGCTGTAGTAAAAAATGGAGCCTGGTAATGGCGCAAACATCTTTCTTTAGAAGAAAGATTTTTAGCGGTTCTTGTTGTGGTTTCAAAGACATGTCCAAGTCATTTGCAACAGAGGAAAGAGCCGTGGTGAACTCCGCTTCAGACATAATTGTTTATGAGAAATTGAGCTTCACTGTGTGTGTGACATACGCTGCTCAGTGATGATTGGTTTGGTTAGCATTTTCAGGGGGGTGGGGTTATTTACATAGGAGAGTTACCAGACTCTTTCTCTGTGCAGAATTCAACAGAGGAGGAGTCTGGCAGGCCAGGCTACATATCTTCTGTACAAGTATTTTGCTCACCACGCTGCCGGAACTTCTTTTCCTCCTTCTTGTATTTCTTGGCTTTTGAATGCTTGTTTTTGAATTTGCGTTTTTGCTTCTTTGGGGGTGAAGATGAGGATGAGGATGACCACTCAGATGATGCAGATGAAGATGTAGGAGATGAATCCAAGTTTTCAGAAGGATTGTTGATAAACGTATCATTTAATGGTTCGTCTTTAGGTTGCGCTGCAGAAAAAAATGGATGAATTTAGAATTTTTTTTTAACACATATCAGGTAACACAGAGTGAAACAAACATGCAAAGTAGCTGCCAATTTCATTTCATTACACAATGGATGATTTTGTCAGCTTATGTGCTTTGACAGAATGAGAACGATGCACCCTTCTGAGTGAAATAAATATAAATAAATATACACGTGGCTGGGCAAATCTAATTTTTGTAGACTATGGAATAATAAAATAGTATAATGACTGAGTGTTGTTGTCCAATACAACATTAAATGTCAATAATTGGCAGTAATTACCTATTACCGTGGTGTTTAAAGGAGAAAAAGGGGAAAACTAAGTTGCTGGTACTAAGCGATAAAGTGACACAACTACAAACCATCTAAATGAACACTTTGATGTCGAAATGTGTATTTTAAATTAATTATTAAAGTATGTAAATGAAAATGTATTTATTTGTGAGAGCACAGACAACTGTAAGAAAACAGATACTAAACAGATACTAGGTAATGGCATAATACATGCCAATTAATTAATCAATAGGTTTAGACCCAATTAGAACAAGTTATTTTTAAGATTTAACTGGCATAACACCAAAGGGTAACTATTTTTTTTATCAACACAGTGACAATAAGGGATCTTCATGTATATTTATACATTATCTGATGTTTATCACAATAATCTAAAATTAAACAATGTTTATGAAACTAGTTTAGTGTCATACTTGACAGAGATGATAGCTGACTTCGGAGGAAATCCCTCTCTCCTTCCAGTTCTTCAATCCTCATCTTTTGCCACTCCAGTTTCTCCTTAAGAAAAGCAACTTCCTGTCTCTCCTTATTAAGAAGCACAGTTGCAGTAGGGGCAAGGCCAGAAGAAGTATCTAAAAAAACAAAATTTAGACACACATTAACAACAGTAGCAGAATCTCTAATCTAAACTAGGCAAACTAAATGACAGCAGAAACAAAAATATCTACTTTAAATGGTAACAATACAAATGTAAAAAAAAAGTTCTGACACAAACACCTGTTGTAGAGCTGACACTTCCAGAACAAAATAAATTATTCCTCCATGTTACCACACTGGGGTTATTTATAATGATATAAATGTATATACATAAGCTAACTATTAAAAACTATAAAACTTTGTGAGGTTTCACTTTCGAAATAATTAATAGTAACAGAGTAGCTAGGCAATGTAGCAGCTAAATGGTTCGTTGTTAGCATTAAAACATTACTCACTATCACGTTTCTCTGTTGACAGCGTTGGTTTAGTGTTAACGTTATCCAGTCGCTGCTTTTTGTTTTTCTTTGAACGCGTGCTGACCGCAGGTGTCGCAGTGGAACAGGAATCTTTCTCTTCAGGTCCATCCATGGCGCTGCCGTAGCTAGCTAGCGTCAGTCCGTGTCGGCTTGACTGGTGGATCAGCCTGAGCTCCGACGCACACCGATGGGAGGGACTTCCGTGTTAAGATTTACTGTGATTGGATGTTTGCACTAAGCTCATCTCTGTATGGTTAATTTTCGTTTTATTCCCTTTGGCGCAACGGTGGCTAGTTTTCATATGCAACCTAAAAATCCAGCGGGAAACGCTTCATAACTGAGTCCAAGGCACTATAAGAGGTGAGCAAATTGTTTTATTTTTTGTATGCAGGGCTGTTCTTTTAATTATAAGTCAGTTTTAAATATTACTTTAGCTGATGAAGAAAAATCAGTTTTAAGAATGAAAATGTTTTGTGTAAATGTAGCATGTTATGTATTAACTTAACTAAATATTCTTGTTCCTGTTGTGTTAGCCATTTTTACATTTTTCTTTGAAAATTATTAGCATTTACAAGTTTGCTTGCAGGGAAGAGTAGTCATAAATAATGATAATTAACGTTATATTTATTAAAAACCCATTTATCTTTCTTTTTTTGGTCATTCTTAGTACGTCAACATAATTATAAATTCAGGTTTTTATTTAGCAAGTGTTACTTCCTGTTGAGCTGTGTATTGTAAAAAGAAAAAAACAACACAGGTTATATTGTTATATACAATAGGTTGCAGAGGCAATACAGTATGTGCTGTGTTTTTTAAGTAAGTTAAATAAACTGGAACTAGAAATGTTTAAATCTTGATTTTTTTTTTTTGCGTGTGTTTGAATTTTTTGGTCAAATTAATGGTTTTACATTTTTCCTTGACTTTTCAAAGGATGCTTCGAGAATTATACAAATACTTGATCTGTTGCTATATCAGTGACCTTTTTTTTTTACCAATGACATTCTGAAGATACCAGTATTTCAGTGTAATAATATAATTAAATAAATCTATAATTTTTCCTACTAGAATGCCTCTTGGGATGAAGTTGCACACTCATACAGAGGGAAAACAAACTAAAAAGAAGACTCTGAGGCTGATTAAATGGCTGCAAAAGAAACACCTTCTAAAGAAGAAGCTGAGATGCCCTGTTTGCCACCATAAGATGAAAATGATATCTGTGGTCAAAAAAGACCAATTTATGTGGTATGAATGCATGATAATGTAGAACATTTAACATCACATTCTGATATTAAAGGCAGGGTACGTAAGTTGGAATTGTTAAAATAATTTTGACCATCTGACCTTGTTCTATGAGAAAATGTAATCTTTTATACTTTATTTTTCTCCTAAGTCCCTCCCCTGGCTTTACAGCTAAACTAATAATTTCTGCAAGCCTACCACATTGGCCAATAGCACTGCATTTCAGATGTTCTCTCGCTTGACTCGGCTTTCTCTGCATGTGCACGTTAGGAGGCGTGGCTTTCGGCTCATTCAGGAAGGCCAGGGATAGAGCAACAGCCCTTCAAATTTTAAAAGCAAGACACAGTGCTAACTTTATCTCAATATTTATTTGTTTTTTAATATAATTTTGTGATAATGTTTATAGGTTCATTTATTTACCTCACTTTTTGGTTTGTTCTCAGGTGCTGCAAAAGAGCAAGTCATAGAAAAGTCTCCAGAACAATTAGAACTGGCTCCCTCTTTGAGAAATCAAAATCTTCTCTTTTCAGTTGGATGAAGTTCATCTACAGGTAGCCTGTGTGTATAAATGTCAACAGGAATAGTAGTTAATATTAGGGCCTCAGTGAGTTTTGACTGGTTTTCATTTCTGTCGCAGATTTTCACAAGGGCTCTGGCTCAGGCAGATAGATATGATTGATGATGATGTGGCTGGCAGCTCCAAAACATTAAGTGCCATGGCAAAGCGTATTCGACATGTCTGCATCGGTGCAATGGAAAGACACAGAGTAAATAAAGGGCACTGTCTTGGTGGTCACAAAGAATTTGTGGTTATGGATGAAAGCTGTCTCCGTCATCAGCGAAAGGTTGTAAACTCTCAGACCACTCTGTTATTATCAGTCCAGATCTGAACATGTCCCCTAAACATATAAGTTTTAAGTTTTTACCATTACATTTAAGAATCAATATAGTAAAACTGTTACAACCAAACAAAAACAATCTGTTAATAAACATATTATTATATCAATTACTATGATGATTTGAATCACTTGAGTCAGAATTTAACTAAATTAAAGTTTGTAAAAGTAGACAATCAATCCATAAAGGAAATGAATGACAGAAAACAGCTTTTTTATTCAACATCTTTGTCATGCTGTTAATAAAGTTTAAATACAATTTACTTTAATAACAGCAATACAATTAAAATGTTAAGATGCAAACTGCATTTAAGAATATACTTTGTAAATGTTCTGTTTAACCTTAATCTTTTTTAATTTTCAGTATGCACGTGGACGCTTCGGAAATGCTTGGAAAAGAAAGAAATGGGTCTTTGGACTGATGGGAGTGAAAGACAAAAGGCGAAGGCTCGTGTTAAAACTTGTAGAGAAACGAACGAGGCGTCACCTTGTTCCTCTGATCAGACAGCATGTTAAGTCGGGTAGTGCCATTATCAGTGATGAGTGGAGAGCCTACAAGAATGTCTTGACAAACATGGGGTACAAACATTACACAGTAAATATCAGCAGGTGGTTTGTTGATCCTCAATCGGGCAGTCATACACAACATATTGAAAGAGCTTGGATGACAATTAAAGGACATATTCGCAGACTAAGAGGAAATCGTACAGAGATGTTGTTGGAGGAACATCTTAAAGTTCTCGAATGGTCATCTTGGCTTGGTTCAAAACATCCTGATGGACCACTGGGACGCTTATTCAAGGACATATGGAAATCATTCCCAGTTTAACCTGAATCTCTTCTACAACAGTTTTTTTAGGGAGGGGGGTATTTGGTGTGTTTGATGAGTTTGGATGTTAAATGTGCTACACTTACAATACATGACCATTTTTGACAGTACATAGTTTGTACAAATATTTTAAGCATTTAGTGTAACTCTGAAGTTTAACAAATTTAAACATTTAAGACAAATTTTTGGTATTTATAAATGTTTATTAGTCATTAATGAATAAAGATATGTTTTACACTCTACAATAAGGCTCCAGTTTGTATTTATAAATGTTTATTAATCATTAATAAATAAAAACATGTTTTACACTTTACAATAAGGCTCCAGTTTGTATTTACAAATGTTTATTAATCATTAATAAATAAAAACATGTTTTACACTTTACAATAAGGCTCCAGTTTGTATTTATAAATGTTTATTAATCATTAATAAATAAAAACATGTTTTACACTTTACAATAAGGCTCCAGTTTGTATTTGCAAATGTTTATTAATTATTAATAAATAAAAACATGTTTTGCACTTCATAATAAGGCTCCCTTTTGTATTTATAAATGTTTATTAATCATTAATAAATAAAGACATGTTTTACACTTTACAATAGCGCTCCCTTTAATCATTGTAAGTATTTATAATGCAGTTATAAGGTACATTAATTATTTGCCCAAAACTTTGTTTACAAATGCTAATAGTGCTTAAAAGATAGGTCCTTAGTTTGAAATGTTTAATATATGAAGTCTAGATAAAGTACATAAGTCAACAGATTTGGTTCACTATTTGGCAAAAAACTAGTAGGTTTAGTCTCTTTCTCACCCTTAATTAATGCATAATAAACATTAATTAGTCATATATAAGGCATTATAGATTGATTAATAATACATTTATAAACCATTTATTAGCCATTCATAAGGGAGCCTTATTGTAAAGTGGTACCGCTAGTTTTTTGTTACTAATAAAGAACCTGGCAGAATACGGTGGAAAGCTGGACTTGAGGACTTCTTCAGTATTTTTCAGCTTGTAAAAAACATAAATAATAAAGACAGAGAAGAAATTCGGAGAACAAGCTTTCTTGTTTCTTTTTGTTGCTCTGATGGACAGCTCTCTGTTTTGCTGGATCTACAGCTTGTGTTTCTTGCATCTGGTTTCACATGAAGACATTCCTGTTAAAGTTTATCAGCCTGATTCTGATAAAATTATCAAATAAAATAAGATTTAGCACTGCGTTGGCTCTTGTTTCAAACCGTCGTAGAAAACCAGCTCCAAAGTTTGATTATATTTGCAGTGCAGTGGCAACCTAATTTTTTATCCAGTAAAATCTGTTATTTATGTCTGAGTTTGAATAACCAGGGTTTTTAGAAAAGGGTTCACTATAGGAGAAGTATGAAGGTTTTCCACATATTGAGAATGCAACTAAAGCCTCTTTTATAAAACAATGCCGTCAATTTGCCACAACGCTGAGCCGGCATAAGGGAGCCTTAGGTTGTTTATAAGTGGTCAGACCGTGGCAGTAATGTGGCGTAATCGTACCCTTTTTACAAAAGATTATGCAAAGGCTGTATAAATGGGGTATGGAGGCAATCTCTGCGCTGTCACAGACTTCTGTTTATCTTGGACATAACTTGCTTTTTAATTGCGATCCAAGCTGTGCTCATTAAATTTTTTTACAAGACCACTCCTGTACACACCCTGGCGGCAGGATTACGCTGATTTGCCGGCACGGTGTGTCTTCTAAAAAGAGCTCAAGCAGAACTCTCTTTGTGCTTCAACCTTTAATGACCAGTATCAGAACAGTCATGAGAAACATGTTCTTTAATACTTAACATTCAAACTCTAACTATGGAATGATTACAGAAATATGGTGACACTTTTTTTTTAACCGTGTCCTGTCTGGCTGTGAAGCAAACAGAATTGATGTCTGAATGCTGGTAACAAGCGTTACAGATTTACTCTCAGGTGGAGCATCAAAGCGTCTGCTTTTAATGTCACGTCTGATACTTAAAACTTTATTGTTATTGTTTTTGAATGCTTTGTAATTCCGACCAGACACGGAGTCAGAGGTGAAAGAGAAAAGAAAAGACAAGAGGTGGGGAGATGGGGGGAAGGGGGTTGGGGGGGTGGGGTTCACAAAAATAAACAATAATTAACAAGA